TCATCATACTCTCGTAGAAACTTGCTGTCTCCTCTGGAGCAAAATTCGCATCTGATGACGTTTCATATGTTGCGATTACATACGCGGCGTTTTGGTTTCGAGGAGTAGTTAATAACTTGATACCTAAAAGCAGTAGTGAGAAACCAAAACATTTATTTTAAAATATTATGTTGAACACTGGGCAAGCATTTCTGCGCGTACTCTCCCATTACATATTTATTTCTTTGGCTTAAATTTAAGACAGATTTATAAAATGAACTCTTATTTGTACAAAATGATTAAATTAAACATTAATCTCTGGATTCATACCTCTTGTGTCTGCCATGTTTACTTTCTTCGAAATTCAAGATCTGTGGAATAGTAAAATGTTATATTGCCACATGTGGAAATTTTTTAAGCATATTGCAAACGAAGAAAATGTAAATTTGCATTTTGCAATTACGACGCTTTTTACCTTTTTGTAAATAACTGAACGGTTTGAAAAACATCTTTAGCATAGGTCCACATTTATTCTCTTTCAGCTAATTCTGAAAATTAGGATGGGCCCCAAAATTTATTAAATTGGGGTCCTGAGAGGAATTTCATTTTATTTTTATTCCAATTAAACGTCGTTGCTAAACGCATGGCGTTTAAAGCAAAATGCAGCGGATTTCGGCTGGACAAGGGCGTTAAACGAGATAAATAGCGTTTTACTGGATTGAACGGCGCTGAGTTAACCGTTTAGCACAAGTGTAACGAAACTGATGGCCCGTGTTACAGAAACCCATTTAGTTATTATGGTTAGGGTTAGTCTCCATTTAGTTATTATGGTTAGGGTTAGCCTGACCTAAGTGGGTCAAAATCCTGTACAAGTGAATGGAAAGCGGACTCTTTACCATGAGACTCTGACATGTTACATCGGCGCTTAATTTGATGTGAACTTGCTCTCTATTGTGCTTGTTGGAACTACATGTAGATGACGTCAAAATAAATAACCCACCTGTTATTGCATAAGACTGTCCTAATAACAGGACTCCTAAGGAGACTAGTGCAAATCACCTCAATTCTTTTTTTAATATTAATAAAAATATCAAAATATTTATTGAAACTGGAACTGTTACAACTGAGAGATCGCTTACGCCCGCATCCTGCCCACCTCAGTCTGAAACACGTTATCGGGAACCAACACAGATCTCTTTGGTTCCTCAACACGTTTCAGTGGCGTACATGTACAAACGTTGGCTGTTAAATGTGCCGTGGTTGCAGGTTACATAAATAATGTTTTTCTATGGTTGCAAACGGCGTTGAGTCTGTAGTAGTGACAATGCCCACAATTTATTCTCTGAGCGATCGCAAGTCCGGTGTTACAGGAGTTTAATATTAAAAACAGCAGGGAATATTACGATAAGCGACCCCCCGGGCTTTCTGTAACTGATATGATGGTAAATATGGTATCTATGGTGGTAAATATGATATCTATAACCTCTATACATTATCGATAAGACCTTACCGAAATGTAGACTTTCTTATCGATTTTGTCACTTCCACTAGACCAAAGAATATGGCAAAAAAATTGTTGTTCGTATTAAACATCTTTTCACTCCTTATTTTTATTAATTAATTTATTTTATTTTATTTATTTATTTATTTATTTATTTATTTATTTATTTATTTATTTATTTATTTTTATTTATTTATTATTATTATTACTTTTTTTNCATCGCATCCCCCCCTCCCGCCAAATGGTTTGCAACCGGATGGCTTACTGGGATTTCTCATGCAAAGGGCCAAAAAAGCCCACAAGTAAGTTTTTTTATCTTAATTCTTCACTAAAGCCTAGGTCCCAACCGAACGTACGCTGCTACGTGTGGTCTACGGCCAAAAAAATGGGAAAACGTGGGAGTTTGTGCGTGAGGAGCACGTCCATCGTACAACTTTTGGAGGACGCAAACAGCACGTAGAAACTTTTCGACATGATCAACAGCGATCTAGCTACGTCCTAGCCGGACGCAAGGAACCTAAAAACCGTGCGTCCAAAACGTAGTTGGGACCCAGGCTTTACAGGGACTATAGGTCGGGCACGCAGGCAGGAACGGTCTCCTCACAGTCTACCTGGGTCTCTCTCTACATCTCTCATCATACTGATTCCTGCGTGCCGTAAATCTTTCAGATGTGACTATTAATTCCGTTAGTTCATCAAAATTACCATGTGTATTTGATTATATATATATATATATATATAACGGGCTATAACTTATTTCTACTTTACGCTTTACCTGAATATGTATATTTTTGCCCTCCTCGAAAATAAAAGTTATTACACCTGAGTACTAGAATATGTGTTAACTTTAGTTCCCTAAACTTGAATATATTCTCTGAACGTATAAATTAGCCAAGGAATAACCCATTGCATTTTGAAAAAAAAATTAAAAAAGAAATTAAGGATATGGCATGTCACACCCAAGCACATGTAACAAAAACAAACAACACAATGAAGGCAAGCCCTGACCTTGGCCTACGTTATTGTGTACATGTACATTTGTGGCAAATTAGATACATGTAGTTGACTAGGATAATGCCACCATACGCAAATTATAAAAATGACTCTTCAAATGAATTAATTTTTCTTAATATGTAAAATTATATACTGATACATGAATAAGAAAATGAAAGAAAAAGCTCAAATAAAGTGATATTATGATCGATTTCAACGCATATGTACACGGTATCTTTTCGTCTTTCGGTAATCGCCATTGGTAGGAAGATGGCGCCTGTTTGACCGGGGGTTCCTGGTCTGGTTCTTATCGCGAGATGTGAGTGGCTCTTTTTGCGTGTGAAAACATTATACGTTTTGATATGATATTTGAGTCAGTTTTTGTTATGTGAATTCCATCATAATTTAAGTGGTGCTGTTTGGTGATTACTTTGTGTATTTGGATAAAGTTTGATCAGTTTTTCGTCCTTTAAAAAGTTTTCAATATATTTTGCTCTTAAGTGGTTGTTAAATAATTTTCTCTTGCTTGCTTACCCCATAATCGATAATCGTATATGGAATTTTTATACAGGAAATTGACCTACTCTGGTCCAACGTAGTTATCGGCGGTATTTAACAATTTTATGACTTGGGCGTGGAGACGTGATTTACCTCTTTGATATGAAAAGTTTTTTACAATGATGTCGTAAATAAAGAGCGCGTGTCGATCAAATATTTCGATTTTTATCATAACGGTGCATTGTTTTATAAGGATAATGGGAAATGTGTTCACAACTCAAAATTAAGAAAAATACTGCATTTTCTCTTGTATGCAAATTAGATTGCCTTTGGTAATTAACTGGCCGGAGGTGTAGTTAATCTCTAATGAGGCTAATGCAAGCACAACCTTAATGACGCTGCAAACGAAGGGTATCACACTATAGTATTTTGGGAGATATTAAAGAGATTAAAAAAAAGAATGACCGGAAATATGAGAAAGTTATCAGAAGTGGATTATGTTTTTAATAAAGATTTTTAATTAAAGATTAATGTTTAAACGTATGAACAGTGAAACATAAGTGTTTGCACTGACTTACACCCCATTTCCATAGATTAGATCGACCTACTTTAGATCGACCTAACTTCCTGGGGGTTCACGCTAAAAAGCTGTCAGCCGGGCGGACACGAAAGTTAATTACCTCCTTACAGCTTGTAGTAGGCGGGACGGACATTTAAGTCGGATTATCTGAAAGTAATCTAGTGAGACTCCCCGCGGGGATAGATTGATCTAAAATCTATGGGAATAGAGCCCTAGACCCCAGCCAACTATATGGCATCACTCTTACCAGAATTAGTATTACTCGTTTAATATATAAGTAATAGTAAAAAAAAAATGAAACTTCTTCTCATGGTATTCTAAAAAAAAATATTTCTGTTGTAAACGTATTAAAGTAAATCTTATGATTTATCCCATATATATATATATATATATATATATATATATATATATATATAATTTCAGTGTTGTTCAAACTGTATATATTGTGAAGCATATACTGACAGTCAATGAAAACGCATCAGAAAACTTTCTTGTCCTTTTTTACCGAGAATCTATCCAAGTATATAAAAGAGTATAAATGCACTTGTTTGGTCATAATAGAGTGGGCTGACCACTACTTCATATTCTACACATTTCACATGAAAACTGTTATTTTCTTAATGTGCCAAAGGAACTTAAAACTATTATTTGATAATCAAATGATGCGTTTTCATTGACTGTCAGTATAGATCTTATACAAAGAATCACCAGGAATTGACAAATTTCAGGATTCGTGGTTGAATCGTAATCAGTTCGTGAAGTTCTTAACAGATTCGTATATAATCATAGTCAGTTTTGCAATTCTTGATCAATTGGGAATTCGTGGCAAAATTTTTGAGCTGTTCAAAATTTTGGTCACGAACTCCAGATTCCAAAACAATCGTAGTGAATTTTTGACAATATTTGTGCGATTTCAGCAGAATCCCACAAATATTCGTAACACTATCGCACCTGTATCGTAACTGAATCGTAGAGCGTGTCGAATTAGGCCAGAAAATTTGCAAAATCTCACCAATCCTGACATTTGTCAATTCCTGGCTATTCGTGGGATTCATGGTCTGTGTGAAATAGGGGCATCAAGATCCATGCCTTACTATCACTGTACACAGATAATGAGATTTACATGGAATAAGGTTTTCAAAAGACTTTTACTACTCTTTTTTATATTTAAATTTCTAGTTTCTTCACAAGCTTGGGCATTGAGGAGTTTTTTTTTACTTCAATAACTAGTTTTGTGCAGTGTTACCTATGGGCTTCAAGTCTTGGCAATCATTCTGTGTGGTTTAAAGAAGAAATTTAATCCTATAGGATCCTATAAGAAATTGGGTCAATTTCCTATAGAATTCTATAGGATCTTATAGGATCCTATAGGACTTTTTCGTAAGGGCTTGCATGTTTCACATTCTAATTCTTAATTTGACCTTTTAAGAAATATATTACACTGTATTACATATTCACGTTTTTTTTTTTTTATTTCTGCTTCTGAAGTAGATTTTCCATAAAGAAATTAAAACAGATGTGCGAATACAAAAGCACTGTTATTCGCACCACCAGCTGGTGGTAAAATACCTGGAGGCCATATCGCCTCTCTAGTTAATCTCTAGTTAATCTTGGATTTAGTGGTATAAAAGTCAACATCAAGATCCTGATACCAACTGAGGACTTCAAACTCCCACCCCTCATTTAAACATTCACCCAGATTTCAAAGGACTATTGCAATTCACTGTCTGGCAGATTGACTGTCATTCTACATTTTCTGTATGCCACTCTCTGGAGTTCTCATCTTAAACAAAACAGTCAGCTCCCTCAGTCTGGGGTTTGTTTTCTGTAAACAGTCGATCCATGAGATAAGGGAAGGTTTACTGCCAGATGAGGTGATTGCAATGGCATAGATGGTTCCATCCTCCTGGTGGTGTTCACAAGAGGTGTCAGGTGGGCAAACTCCCCCCTCTGTGGTGCCGAAGAAGGAGGTGAAGGAGAAGTCAAACTCTGCAAAAAAAGTTAAAAAGGCAATAAGAGCTGAATATATAAATTTCCAAAACTATCACTGCAAATTTGATATTTTTGTGACAAAGGGCAATAATAAAAAAGTTAATACTGAACATTTCAATTATTTATTTAAATCACTTTTAACCAGACAACTTACAAAACATAAATATATACATTTCTCCACTGTAGTAATTGGGCACACACAAACACACACGCACATAAATAAAGAAACGCAAAACGTGTGTAAACCCCAACTCTGAGGTATGCCCGATCATCAGGTGTTTATTTAAAAATGGTGTTTCAACCGTTTATTTACACGACATGATGACACTTACAGGGCAGTTACGTCACCTTGTGACGACATGGTAATAATTTCAATTCTTTTATTTAGAGCATCTGGTGTTGTCATATTTAGCAGTTTTTCATCTAGGCAAAGGTTGCATAGATGTTGATTTCTCCTTTGTGCCGCTGATTTTTTTATGACATCCCACCTAATGTCATACTGAGTGTTACTTTCTTTTAATTTCCGAATATATTTAGATAGCTCAGTTTCTACAGCATATATTTGTCCCTAAATGACTTAAGTGTGGTTGTTATATCTTAACTAGAATTGGCCAACACAAAGCCCATATATTTCACACATTTGTTCTTTGTAGTGAATGTTGCTTGGTACACAATATTGGTGGACAAACATTCCCCTCTCAAAGAGCACTTGTTTGGATAATTGGAAATCTACAATTGCATTTCTTATCTTGAGTACTAACTGACATATTTTTGAGTATTTTTTTTTTAAGGCCGTGAATAATTTGCTGCATGCTTTTCATACAACAGTAACTAACTTTTACCGTGGATCTGTTGAATATTCAGTTGAGTCTGCTTCAGATACTCTAAATAAAAGAACTAAAATTATTACGTGTCGTCACAAGATGACGTAGCTGCCATGGCGTGTGACGTAAGTGTCATCACGCCGTGTAAATAAACAGTTCCAACATCATTTAAAAATGAACACCTCCTGATGATCAGGCACACATTATGGGTATGCCCGTGAAACTCAGTTGGGGTTCACACATATCTTGTGTTTATTTATTTATTTATTTATTTATTTATTTATTTATTATAATTGTGCATATATGCTCCGGACAGTTTATATATAATAACTGCAGCCCTGGTAGAGAGGGTAAGTAGGAATAGTGTTAAAAGCCTGCTGGAACCTTGGCAAATGACCAGTCACATTGCACAAAAGCACTCACCATCTTCTTCCTTGGTGGTGTCCTCTGGGTGTCCTACCACATTCTCTGATTTCAAGACAAAGAAAGTCACAGGTACCCGTCTCAGCCAGACCAGGAACCCTCCCTCCACTACCACTGGCTGGTCAGTAGGGTGGACAGCCAGTAGGGCTTGCTGCTGACCACTCTGAGCTGTGGCTATGAATAGCTCTTCTGGGGTTGCAGTCTCTGACAAGGCACTACTCTGAAACATGGGAATGGTAATTAAGATGAGGCAGCACAGAGGCAGGAAAAAATCTGATGATTGTGTAGGTGCCACTGATGATATCAATTACATTTAAGAACTTCATAACAAGACCAGTGTTTTTGCCATCAGCCATTGGGACGTGATCAACAAGAAAGTATTTTTTTACCAGAACAAAACAGCAGTTTTAATTTGATAATTTTTTAAAAGTTTCTATGTGTGTGTTTGTGTAATAAAATTCACAGAGATACTAAGATTTTTATATGACATCCATAGGCAATCTGAAGATTTTGTTTCATGTATATTTAAAATGTTTGTTTATTACTTTAAACACATGAATGTCTATTTGACTTTGCAGTCATTGTACATATTGCCATGCTTATAATTTCATGTCATATGTAAGTTTTCAATTGGCTGAACTTTTCGCTGGATATATATACATTAGTTACATTAGTCCGTTTTTTTTTTTAGAAAGTTTGCTTTTTTTGTTATAATCTCTTAAGAGATTATTATAGACTATAGCCATCTATGGAGGTCACATAGTTGGATGACAAGAACAGATTGTAGAATAATTGCTTTAACTGCCATTTTTGGTGGTGAAATAGAATATATTATATTTCCTTGAGTTGTTTACAATGTTTTTATTGTGAAATATAGATTTTATACAAAGAATTGTTAACCCTTTAACTTCACATTATTATGTTAAACGCATGGATTTGAACTCAATGTCCATATCTCATAAATGTAAATATTACCTCAAATACAGTTATCCTGTTATCCAAATCTACACAAATCTTTTCCAAAGCCATCTTTGCAAGCTCCAAGCGATCCGAGGGCAGCTTAACTGGTACATAATAAGGGTTTTCATACTTCAACTTGGTTGCCCAATATAAAGTACGTCGATACTTGCGCACCACAAAAGATTTTAACCCAAAGATGTCTACAAGGAGATGACCAAACTCTTCATCAGGTAACACACCTGAAATTAATGTTAAATGACATGCAGGGATTTTCAAACGGGTATATAATGCATTGCCGTTGTAAGCATATTACCACAATTATTCAAATAAGTTGCTGAAAACAAAGAAGGGTTATATATAACACAGAAAGAGGCAGAAATATCTTTTCATATAATATCATTCTTTTGGAAATATTAAATTATGACATTTGGTATTTCTTTAAGTTATGCTATTTAAAAGTATGTGTTGGCATTAGCATCTTTAACAGGAAGATTTCTGGTAGGCAGCCCAAACACGCCAGTCATAAAAATTGTTGGGTTTAGCAACTGGCTGTGACACAACTGCAATGACAGAAAATACTGTAACACACTGTGACAGCATCTCTCGCCTACCGAAATTCAGAACAATGGCTCAACTATCCAAGAAGCACACTTACCATTCTCATCCATCTGATGCATCAACTTCAGGGCCAAATCCTGATGCTTGGGAAACCACATAAAATCTGCCTGCATTGCATTTGATGCCTTCATCTTGCCCTTTGGGAAAATATCCACGATCTCTTTGTACACATCCAAATCATCACTGACATTAAAATCTTTCATATGTTTTAGTGCTGAATTGATGAATTCAACCTAAAAACAGATAACAGCATTTTATATTGTGTCAAACTGCTGAAGAACATACAGTATTTATGTATGTGGTATTACAATGGAATTTACTGTTATCTTTTCATATGATTATACTGTTTTCTTACATTTTTAACTGTAAAATTCTATAGTCAGTTGTGACTTTTAATATAATCTGATAATTATTGTCAAAATAATGTCTTTGATTATAGTAGTAATCTAAAACTAGACAGTAAAGCTGTCAAATATATACTGGGGTAGTGCTGGCAATTTTTTCTCTTAGCCAAATCACTACTTTTTCATCACTTTTTTCTCCAAATGGTTGAAATTTGACTTCAGTCAAATCAACCAGTTTTTGTTTAGCTAACTTAAGTCAGTTTTAGCATTTGGCTAAATTAGCGAGTGTTACCCCTGATTCAGACACAATACAGGAAACAAGGCAGCAAAGCTGACAAATGTTCAGACATTATGCAGAAAAGAGTGCACCAAATAATGCTTTGGCCAATTTTGATGCACAGTTACATAATGCTTTAAAACAGCGTAATCACTCTTATCCTCTTACATTAAGTACTACAGGTAACATGGACAAGGCGAAGGGGCGAAGGTCACCAAAATTGTGAAAAAAAAAAAAAAAAATAATAATAATAATAATAATAATTACTGTAAATGTTAACCGATCATGCGGATTTTTGAAAGCAACCTGCCCTTTTACCAAACAAAGTCACTCAGTAAATTTAATAATAATAATAATAATAATAATAATAATTATTATTATTTATAGTCTAAAATCCATATAAAATGTTCAGTAGAAAAGGTAGTTAAAATAATAAGATATTAAGATGTGAACTAAAATGTAATTGAAAATGTAACTGATATTAAAAATAAATTGTACAATGTAAAAGATAAAACTTTTTGAAGATATGTTTTTAATTCTTTTTTTGATATTGTCCTCAGACTCTATCGTTTTTAAGAAAATAAGGAGAATGTTCCACTCAATTGGTCCATAGACTTGAAGAGCAAGATCGCCGTATGCTCTTAATCTGGAATTCTACCTTATCATACAGCATTTAAGCTACCTGCTTCTTTGCCAAACAAAGCCACTCAGTAAATTTATAAGAAAAACAAAAATACGGTTTTGAAGTTAAGAGGCAAACATCACCAAAATGTGCAAAAACAGAATAACTACCATACATGTAAACAGATTGTGCCAATTTTCAAAAGCAATCACCCTGAGCTTCAGAGATAACTTGACACTTACCTCTTCACAATAGCCTATCTTCATCGTGTCAAGTTACCTCTGACGAAAATAGTTTGACCTAGTTAATATAAGCCAATCGAATCCAAGTTTCAAAATTTTTCACCAAAGTTTGGTGAAAACGCTGATTGGTTGACCGTCAATCGGTAATCCTCGGCTGATTCCGCAAGCTCCATACTAACAACAAAGTTATTGTCGAGTGCGGAGATATCCGAGTAGTTCCGAGTGCATAAGCGTACACAAAGAAAGCATGGCGTCTCCTACGAGTGACTACGTAAAATAATGTGTTAAGTTATCTCTTGATTCTTTGCAAAATATGAGTATATCGGAATTGAAACCAGAGCAGTTTGAGGCCCTGCATCATTATCTACTGAGGGATGATGTATTTTGCGTGCTGCCCACAGGTTACGGCAAGTCCCTGATATTCAGCCTTATCTTTGATTGGTCCGGATTTGAACAAAGCGCGCTTTGACTCGTTCGCGTTCATTGGCTAGATCGTTCAATGAGT